TGTCTTAGCCGAGCCCGGGGCTGGGACCTCCCTCCCCCCCGCGGCAGCTCCGCTCCGCCGCTCTGCTCCGCTCCCGCCCGCCGTCCCGCCCGGCACTCACCCGGCCAGGCCGCCGCTGCCGGTGCGGAGCCCCCCGGTCACCCCTTCCGCCTTGGGCGCAGGGCGGGGAACTGCACCAGCGCCAAGAGGGCCCCGCTCACAGCAAGAAAAAGCTTCCTAGCTGCGCGCAGCGCCCCCTGCGGCTGGAGGTGCGCGGCGCTCCCCCGCCACAGCGGCCCCTCCCCCGCGGCTTGCTTGCGGGCTGCTCTGCGCCCAGCGCCCGGGGGGCTCCTGGGGACTTCCGCGGCTTGTGTTGCCAGCTGTCGTGAATTGTTCTTAAAGTCTACGCTTTGGAAATGTGACACACTTAGCCCTTTCTTTTATATCTATCTATCTGTATATCTATATATTCTTAATTTTTTTTATATATATATAAAAGAAAAAGCTAAGTGTGTCATTCCTGAAGCGTAGGCTTTAAGAACAATGCCAGAAATCTTGAAAGCTGGCAATACTGAAAGTGTGTGTGTGTGTGTGTGTGTGTGTGTGTGTGTGTGTGTGTGTGTGTTGGGGGGGCCATCATTGCCCCTCCTCCGAAGCCCTGAGGAAGGAGCACCAGGGTTCAGGGTTCACGGAGAAGGGGCCACAGGCAGAAGGTTTCTGCCTTGGTTTGCAAAGGGCTGAGAGAGGGATGATCCTGCCAAGGAGATCCTGAGCCCCCTTCCTGCCCTGCTTGTCTGTCACTCAGCCTGCCCTTAGCACAGGGCTCCTCTGTTAGGCTGCCTCGAGAGCCTTGTGAGGGTGGCACGCAGGGTTGCCACTGTTCGGTGGGCAAACATGACTTGCTAGGTAAACCCTGAGCTTTCAAATAAGAATTAAAAAAACATTCTGACCTGTCGCAGCTGTTCTGGTGGCCTGGCAGAAAAAGAATGGCTCTGGTACTGTCAAGAAAACAAGGGACAGTGTGGCATTTTCCAAGGGGTGCCTGCCTGGCGTGTAAAAAGGTAGAGAGCAGCTGACTTTGCCCATCCATGCATGTGAAACAGGAACAGTCCTGTGGCTGTGCAAACACCGCTTAAGTCCAGTCCTGCAGACCTTCAGGCACATGCTTGAAACACATGCACTGTCCTGCTGCTTTTTGAAGGCAGTGTGTGTAACACTGGGGCCTGTCCTCAGTTGCCGTCACCATGTGTGTGAATCCTGAATAGGAAACGGCCCTGCTTTTTTTTCTGTTCACATCCAGTCACATAAGGAACGTACCCTTGCTATTAACTCAAGTGTTCATTAGGTGTCTCTGCTGCACCACAGAAAAAAATGTAGACCTACCACTTATTCAGAGTACCTGCCATCATTAGTTCTTTGAAGTGTTCTTGCATTGACAGGTCTTGGGGTGAACAAGTGGGAAATTTCTTGTCACGGTCTGTGTCTGGGCTATTTTTTCCCCTAATTTACTATTGTATTGATAAAGTACACTCTACCAACAGAAAAAAGGTAAGCAGACTAATGCAGATGAAACACCAGTTTCTCTACCATAGTGGGTGTGTTTACACATGCATTAATGCACTTTAGTTGATGTGCATTAGATCTAGTGCTTTTACACATGCTCTGGGGGTGATGGGAAGCATTGCTTTTATTAGAGCAGTTCATAGTTTCATAGATTTAGGGTCGGAAGGGACCTA